AGTAATTGTTCATCCTAGCATCCTAGCCTATTAAGCACCAAATGTTTACTTTTGTTATCTATGCAAACGTGCTGCAAGAGTTATGAAAATAGATTTTTTTTTCCATCTGAATTACTATTGCAACTTTGTATGATACTGTGACAGATTTTTTGTTATCAAAAAAAAAAAAAAAAAAAAGTTCTTTGAACCTTAAATAAACAGTGCAAAACACGTTATGATAATTTTGATGTTTCAAATTCTGTGTAACTCGCTCCTGAATATAACTTTGCCATAGCAGACCTAAATTATCGGAAGCACATTTGTTTCACAATATTTTCTAAAAGGTGCTTTCAAAAGCTGCCAAACATGTGCCAAATGTAATTCTTATAACCTGGCAAAAGCCAGATTTATACCGTGTAGAATTCAAATTGAACTATGTGGTATCGTCCTGGGAAGGCTCCTGAGGAAAGTGTTCGCAAAAGGGAGGAGCATTCAGTGCAATCCTTCAAGCTGATTGGGTACCTGCCTCCCATTTCGGGTTTTTAGCCAATCACAGCAGCAGTAGCAGCTTAATTTTTTTTTTTTTTTAAATCCTGTCGGGTTAAAGAGCGACCATCTTCCCATCCACTAAAAAACGTTTTGCTTGTTTTTCAAAAAGAAATTGAGAGTATTCCAGCAGAAACCACTGCAGCCATGTTTGCTTTATTCAGCCTTCCTCCTGTGGTCGAAACGTTATTCCTGCATTTCATTGGTCCAAAACATTTCTGTATTGAGGCAAACGTATCTCCTAGCAACATGTATTTTTGTCTCACCACTCACCAATCTCACCACTACTCATCTTGTTTGGAGTGTAAGTATTTATTAACTCCTAAAAGGGAATCTGATCAATACTGATATCCACTCTAAGTCATGACAGAGCATTTAGTCATGACGTTTACCCTGTGCATCATCAAAACATACTGAGTCATTATTAGTCATTTCTTTACAAAGCTGAATACACTGGAAATTATATGGAGGGGGATCACATGGGAATATAAGACGAATATTGGGAAATTATCCAGCCATGTGTGGTGTGATTAGAGTGATTGAGAAGAGCATCCTGTAGGAAAGTCTATTGTCCTATGAGAGCATGTTTTCTTTAATCAACAGGGCTTATTCTTGATTATTTTACAGTAAACAATCACTCTTTACATAATACTTTAATTAACACTATTCTTCATAGTTAAAAGCTCTCAAACATGGCTTAAACTTTAAAGTGATTTAATATAAGTCTAGCATAGAAATGGCACATGGTTCGCTGCGCTCATTGTCCAGAAGTCCTCACTGACGTCATAAGAATAAAGAATGAGTCATGAATAACATTTCCAGTGGGTTGTATACCTTAGCGATATCACTAAGCTATGTGTCATACCAAGTGGTGTCTCTCAGATAGGGTGTGTCATTATTGGGTGTCCAGTCCCTACGTTGTACGTGTGCTGCTTGCTCTTTCTCTCATGATTATAGACATGTGTTCCACTTTATTAAACCTGGCCTTTGAGATTGGTAACTGTATTTTTATTATCTATACAGGCTATTGTGTCTATATAGACTGCCCTGGAATTTCCTATTCTTTTCTTCTAACCTTGTGACTTACACAATGAAGGTAATTACTGTTATCCTGATAAAATGGATGCCTGCTTCAACTAATTTGACTCCTGAGAGAGATTAAATAAAACCTGAGAATTGATATACTATGGGTAGGGAAAGCTATAATTATTAGAGAAGAATAGATGTTTATTATAATGAACGGTCTAGGCATTTTAAGGATTAAAAGCTAGTTTTTTTTTTTTATGAAGGATAAAGATTAGTCCTAGCAGTTGGGTCCTTTTGCAAATTGGGGGAAATTAAACATGTTGGTGTGCCTTGGCCTGATATCCTACTGTGTGTGGTGTTCATCTGAGGACAACTGAGCAAGAAACATTTTATAACTACATCCTAGACTATTCTCTACATTCAGGGCAGTCAAAGTGAGTGGTCCAGCTCTGTTATGGTCAGTACAAAAGTCCTGTACAGGAACCTGTATCCACCTGCACCCCTAGAGCTCAGAACTGAGATCGGACCTTTTTCTTAAACCCAGCCCAGTAATAGAAAGTTGCTGGACCCACAATCAACACAGCCATTCATTTTCATTAAGTGCTTTTAGTCACAAATTACTTTGTTTTTGAAGCTTTAGTATAATAAAATCTTAACAACAACAACAGAGGCGAAAGCACATTACCTGATCCTCACATGCTAGTATGCACTGCCCTACCAGATGACCGGCAGCAAACAAGCCAAACTCCGGGCTTTTTATTTCCCTCACAAACGCAAATACACACTCACAACAGCATTGATATAATACATCAGACATTACTTTGATGTAATATGATGGAAATGAAAGCATGTAAATAAGCGGCATTGTAATCCAGCACCTTGTTATTGTAGATTAATTGTATATAACTTAATTACTTTCCTGCAGTTTTTCAGTTTTGTGTTAATTTAATTACTAGTGTGAATTTATTATTTTCTGTAATTGGAAGCTTTGTAAACTTGTGTTTACAAACACATTTGTATTTATGTTGACAGGATTAAGTTTCTTGTTTATAACAAAAGACAATAAAGCATATTTATTATATGTTTCAAAGCTCTATATTTTACTCATTGACGAACCTTAACTGGCTAGAAAACAGTTTGACAATGAAATTAAACAAAACTGCAACTCTTCCAGAAAAAAGTGAATAAGACATGCAGTAAAGAGCAACACGTAGGCAACCAGCTGTCAGTCAGTGTTGAGATGATCTGAGGAGCTTCTTTGGATTAGAGATGATTCTAATCACGTATGTAAAGCCATTATTCCTGCACATAATGAAAAATCCCAGAAACATTTAGCTTCTGAGTTTCTAAAGCAACACTCCTATTGGAGGCTCTGCGCCATCATCTCTCCTCTCGGTATGTACTCAAAGCAAGCTACACACCTGTCCACATTGCAGCTCCTCAGCCAATAAGCATCATGTACTGTACGGCTATATCAGCTTCCTGCTGCTCGTTCCTGCAATAAAAATCGCTCCCAGTTATGAAAAGTCACTATGATTGGACAAGTTAAGGTTTTATGTGAAAAGTAATAAGATAACTTTGTCAATGAAAATCCAATACATCGAATCTGTGTTTTACAATTTGAAAAGTGTTTTCAGGGAAATATGGTGTTTCCAGCTCAAACACTTCCAAATGTGACTTCTGAAATGAATTGGCCGCTGTGTATTGTATCCCACTACATTACTCTTCAAAAAAGTGAGTGTGACCCATTTACTCCGGTTACGTTTGGAAGGTCTATAAAAGCTGTATGAATTTTTCATATTTCCTCCCATTCCACCATGCTCTATATGCAGCAGTCTAGCTTGCAGAGCTCCATGGATTCAATCCCATAGAAATTGTAGTGACACGCATGTCCTGCATGGAGAAAATGTGGCTTTTTTGCATGTGTGTGGACAACTTTGATTCTTACCCTTCAAACAACAGTGAGTAATTTAATGGAGGACACATATATATGAATGCCCTTAGAAAATATTCCCTTTATGGCTTAAAGCTTTAGAATTCTTTTCAAATCTGTACAAAAATACAGAAATTGAATAAAATACGCAATGACTAATGGATGGCTACTAAATGATGAGAAACTCTCTTCTAGAGGAATTCAAAATCCTTTGGGTTTTACAACATCACTGAGCTGTAGGGACCTTCTGTTTTGCCGTCAAGCAGTAAATATGATGATATACAATGTACCCAATAAAGCTGCTTTAACTATAAACTATGCAAGAATCACATGAGATCTTAGAGTATAAACTCTCAGTCTCCAGATTTAGACTTGTCTGCTTCTGTTAAACACGGTGTGTTTTTCTACCATAATGCCCTGAAGGTGCTATTGCACATTTTAATGGCTCGATTAGTATTCATCTGCGGCCTGTACTGCTGTTTCAAGCTGTCTTGCTTTGTGACCCAGGAGTGTCAGCTGCGAGCACTTAGATCGCACTTTAGATGTTTACCTCAGGTTTCTGCCTTGGTGGTGTCTGCCGGCCTGCCTGGATCAAATCAGGCCTTTAAAAACGGTTTAAATCTGCTTAAAGCGAAAGTGTGTGTTTATCCCGGTGCCTCCAGTTAAAGTATATTTTAATGGCAGCATGTGTGTCATTAGGTTACTCCCCACTGCTCCTCTGCCAATGATAATGGGGGATTTTCGTGCAGTCTGGATCATGCGCTGACTTTAATGCCACAGACAGAGCAGCTTAATAAATCACTTTTACAGTGACCATTTTTTTCTTAATTTTTCAAAAAGAAAAAGTGAGAGAGTGGGAAAGAGAGAGAGAGAGTGAAAGACCATCTGCTCAGAAGCGACCTAAAAGCAACTGCATTTTGAATTATTCATTTTCTGACTGTAACACAATGTTGGAGACATTTGGTCTTGCTCTAAGAGCTTACCTCAGGTCTTGTAGCACTGTGCCTTTTGCTCAAAGCCAAGCAAAAATAGTAATGGATCTCCAGGGAATCTGATGCAGGACTTATCTATTTTCCTCTGCCTGTTTTACTTATTTTCACTTCCTTCTCCTATTGAATGCTATGAATTCCCAGCTTTACACCAGCTATCATCTCCACACCTGCAGGAATCTAGTCACACAGCTTAGCCAATAACAAATCCCAATAGAATTGGTATGCTTATTCATTATGCAGCCATCACTGTGTTTGATCACACATCAGTGTGTTTAGGACCATGCATAGGTTTGTTTTTTCCTGCTACATATTATGTATTTATCAGTTGACCAGTTTGATGCTATAGATTTTATTTTGGGGTATCAGAGAAAAGGGGACTGAATAAAAGTTCATATGTCTGTTTTCTGATTTTAATAGACAATCTTAAAATCATGCGTTATTTTTCCTTTTACTATTCTGTGAATGGAGAGAAAAGGCATGTTGAACTCTAGACTATTTACATTTATCCTCGCCTCTTCTCCCAGGGTCCCGAACACGATTTGAAGACAGTCCCCCTCGGATTGTGGAGGACCCCTCAGATTTGATTGTCTCTAAGGGGGAGCCTGCCACCCTCAATTGCAAGGCAGAGGGCCGACCCACTCCCACCATAGAGTGGTACAAGGACGGGGAACGCGTGGAGACCGACAGGGATGATCCCCGCTCCCACCGAATGCTCCTGCCCAGCGGCTCCCTCTTCTTCCTGCGAATTGTACACGGACGCAGGAGCAAACCGGATGAGGGCATCTACACCTGTGTAGCCCGGAATCACCTGGGAGAAGCCATCAGTAGGAACGCAACGCTGGAAGTTGCAGGTAAAACTAGAAACTATGTTTCTGAGTTGTATACGGTAAGTCTACTGGTTATAAAATATTTTTAAAAATATGTAGTAAAAATATATAGACAATGGGAGATAATTTTGCTGTATAAGTAACTATATTATATACAGTTTGTAGAGAGTGTGATCTCTTCTGTTGTCATTTATTGGGGTAGCAGCTGTTGAACAACAGTGTCTTCAGACAAAAGCTTCTTTCAATCTGCTGTTGAACAGTCTGATACTGATACTGCCTGCAGCCTTGAGCATCTACATGTACTCTTTGAAGAAATTCCTAAAATATATTACAAAAACATTAAAGTTTTCTTTTTATTTCATCAACATTTTATTAGTTAAATATATATAAACCACTCAGAAATATCATTTTGTGAAATTCGGGCTCATTTTTAATACATAAATGCATTAAGTTTATGGTAATTATAGAATCCATATCAAGATTTTCTGCATTTCCCTGCTTTTCTTAGTTGCCTCCTGTGATTTACTTGCATATGTGTTTATCCAGGTTATTTAACCAATTACATATAACTTAAACAACGTAGATATAACATATAAAGTACTGATACAAAGTTAAGCCGATTTAGAATTCCCCTTAAATACTTAACTGACAGCATTCAGAATATTTTCTCTAATCATAATGCTCTTTGCAATTTTATGTTAGAAGCAGAGACAAAAATCACACCTAGATGGTAGCCCCAAATACTTCTTTACATTTTTTTGAACAAAGAAAATATTTTTTAAGAGTAGCGTTCAAGATGCTTTTAGAATGTTATATTAGCAATAAGTATGGTTAACATGGCTACCTGGTTTTCTGTTTAGCATATAGATGTTTGCTCAAAGCTACGCTGCAAGAATTCTGAACCAAATATTAGCTGAATTTGAGACATTTTTGGGGTCAAAATACAGAGTTTGGCACATATGGATGCTCTGTGCCAGTGTTGTTTTTGAAAGGCATCTTAGATTTAGGCTGATTTTGAATTCAGGGGCTGCGTTCTCCGAAGGCCAGATTCGAACACCGATTACATCTTAGCGGGGCGCCGAGGTCTGTTCAGATTCCAAGACTCCTTGTTATGCAGCCGACAAATCTATCCTTCTCTTTGCCCGATTTGAAGGACGGGCCCGGTGTATCCTACGTAGCCTTGGATATCCCGTGATTCATTGTGAGACTAAGTAAGCTGGCTGCTTAGTGATCAGAGGAAAAAGGTACTTGGCTCCAAACAGTGGTTTGGAAGTGCAGTTTAATATAATGCAAGTATGTGAAAAGTTCTGTCTGAAAGTAATGAAAATTGTTTTTTAAATGGTTGTTGAGTCAGTTATGTATCTGTAATGTTTAATTTATCTAAAGATTTTCATCTGTTACTGTGTAAATGGGTTTGGCTGTAATTCTAATATATCTAAAGTGTGGGGACTATAAATCTGAGAGGATATTTATTTTTTTTATTGCTATTTTGCACAATTTGCTTTACTAAGTATTTTTTGTTGTTGAATATAAGTGATTTTGCAGATATATATATATATTTTTTATTTATTTTTTAATGAATGAATGCCCTACTTTATAAAAAAAATGTCTCACAAAAGTTGTGAAAATTCACATCTAGTTGGACACATCATATTGGTTAAAATAGCAGACAGACAAACTGACTAAAGTTTCAAGGAAAGATTTTAGACACATAAGGTTTCCATCCAAAAGCAAACATTTCCTGACCTACTATGAATTATGTATAACAAACAGATCAATAAAATCTTCATTACTGCAAAAAAGCAAAGAACAAAAACATTTTTCTTTCTACTTTGGCAATTTTTGCTTTATTTCTTCAATTTGCCAGTTTTTTTTACCACTGCTCAGGGGTCAAACTAGATATAAATTCATAGGTGTCAGATATAAAAAATTACACAGAAAACCTACATAATGGGCTTATAATGCCATGGCAAGCCGGACCTAAATTTCAAGAATATGTTAACTAAAATGTTGAAATATTTAAATAGATAGAAACAAGAACTAGCCCTGCGATGGACTGGCGCCCTGTCCAGGGTGTACCCCGCCTCTCGCCCATTGACAGCTGGAGATAGGCACCATCACCCCTCGCAACCCCAATTGGGATAAGCATGTAAGATAATGGATGGATGGATGGAGGAAACAAGAACTATGAGGGAGAAATATACAAAGATCTATGAACCTTTTCATCTGAGTCCTAATCTAAAAATAAACGGTCAGCAATTACGTAAATATTTGCTTTGCATATAATTTAGAGATTCTTTGTGGTGGAAATTAAAGAAGGTTTAGCATCACCTCTTATTAGCTGGAAAAAATAAAATCTTAATAGTAAGAAAAAAATATTTTTTACACTTGGCAGAGGATGATCAGCGACATATAGTTTATTACTGTAGGTAGGGGCGGCAGGAAGAGCCCTGCTGCTGAGAGCAAACCATCAGTGTGGAGCACGCGGACTCGGAGCTATACATGCGCAAAGACGCACAAACACAGCTGGAAGAGCAGAGTTTGTCAAAGTTGAGCCCGCAGTACTGGACCATTCTTGATTTCTTTCACCCCTACTGCTGCTGCCATGGTCCTGCTGTGGTCATGCAGAATGTGCACCACTACACTCTAGGTGGTGGGCGTGACCAGGGCGTTTACCATTAGGCAATATTAGGCAGTTTCCTCGGGCCCCAAGTTCCTGGGGGCCCCATAAAACTCTGTTTACATGTATGGTTAATACAACTATTCCTTATTTGTGCACATTAAATATGCTTTGATAGAAATCCTTTCGCTAAAATGCCGTCAGAATATCTTATAGTATTAAGTTTGTCTCAGATCCTTCACTGAATGAGTCATGTCAGCCAGACTGCGGCAAAAACAGATACAATTATACTTGGTCAGACATATTGGTTTCCTGATTTTGTATTTAATTTGGAGTGATGAATGTGGCATTGTCTTCATAAGGTACTTCCTAACTTCTTAAAGGAATAGTACACCCAAAACATGATTAGCCGGCAGACCAAACCAGCGCATTCAGCTCGACAAAGAACTCATGCTCTTCCTCAACACTGAAGTCCTCAGACATTTTTCTTTCGTTGTTTCTTTCTTTGCACAGGTAAACAGCACATTTCTTCTTCTACGCTTGCATTATTGGCAGAGCAGACGCTGAATGCGCACTTTCATCTGGCTTGGTCTGCCGGCTTCCGTAGCGTTGTGAGCGCGCATGTGCGCGCTTTCAGGAAATCCTATACACTACTGTTTATGCTCTAAAAACATTCTAAATGACTTCGTTTCGAGTAAATTCTGGATGCTACCCACTCAGGACACTTGGAATACATTGGACGAGCAGTATGGAGGAATATTGACATGTTTTTTGTGGACTTTTATGGACCTTTCTGCCTCGGGCACCATAGACCTCCATTATTTGAATGTCAGCAGACAGCAAGAAGCCTCCCAGATCTCCAGATGCATTTGAGATATCAAAAAAGTACTCCAGAGTGTTGTTCAGCATGGGGGTGAGTAGAAAATGAAGGCTAATCATGTTTTGGCTGTACTATTCCTTTAAGGCTGATTTATACTCAGAAACCAGGTCATCTGCGTGTGTGTTGCAGTGAGCGCAAATGTTCCTCCGCCCCTGCATCAGACACTCTGCTGCACCTCTCCAAAATTGTATGTGACTGCAAATCTACATCCACTCTACACTATGCGTATTTCCTGTATGGTAACTTATGTATGACCGTCATTGTGGAAAACGACTTGTGAAGATGAACCAGCTAGAATAGCTAGGTGTGCTGGGACCCTTTTTCCTCCTGGATCCCCTCTCTAATTCACCCGCATGTCCCTCCATTGTCGCACAAACTTGCCCCCACTTCCTCACCGTCTCGGCCATATCTAGACCCACAGCTAGCTCATGATTGTCCCTCTTGGGTTGTGGCATGGATAAACATTTCGCAGACCACGCTTCAATATTGGACATAAATCAAAAATATCTGCGACAAGCTCACTGCGACACACTGCTGCGGGAGGGTAACCGGCCCTTTAGTCTGCTGGTCCAAAGTTCTCTGCTTTCAGATTCTAAAAACACGGCACTGATTTTGCAGAAGTGCAGCCATGCCAGTAGCTTTCAGGCGCTAAACACTAGAAAATAAAGGTCTAGAAGTTACAGAGTTTTGCTTCATCGCTGATATATTTTTGAAATTTCAGATCCAGCACGTTCCATTATAAGATTTTAAGGCTCAAAAAGGGGTCTGCATTGCATCTCTGCTGTGATTTGTTCAGGAGAAAAAGAAGGCTTTATGGTACTCTAAACAAGATGACTATCTGTGCTGAACAAGCAGGTTTCAACACTTGGTCTAACTTAAATTGGAAAGTGCAGTGATTTTTATAATTAAAGCCTTACTAAGCCTTAACCAATCAATTATATTGGGTAATTTGGCCTAAATATTGACAAATATGTGATAAGTTGGAGAGGAGCACATCTCCAGTGTCTCAAATTATGATAAAGCACATGTATCTTAGCCTCTGTTGTTGAATTTATGTCTGCTGCTGAGCAGTGTGAGCCTTCTCATATCTTGGAGAAAGAGCTGGGGCACGTGCCATTGTCTTTCCTTCCTGCTAATTGTGCCAGTGTGGCTCGTCCTCGGGCTGAACTGCAGCCCTTCTTGGCATGAGGGAATGGATTAGTCAGTGAGTTGATTAGGCGACGGAGCAAAACAGATTAGCAAGGTCGAATTGTCCACGTTAAAAACACAAAACACCAATTTGAGCCTGTTCTTATCTCCCACCATGCTGAGGTTTTACTTACCAAATAGTGAATGTGTCTCTGTGTGTGTTTGTGTGTAGTCTAATGGCTGACTGACCCCATCAGCAGCTGTGTCCTAAAATAAAGCCACGCTCTGCAGATATAATATATATCCGGAGCCACAAGCCTGTGCAGCTCTGGAAGCAGATATAATATGGATCCTGTCATATTGCCTCGTTTGAATTGTTGATGATTAAATTTAGCT